ATAAAATGACATAATTGACATATTGAAGTTCAGGTTCTTTATCTGTCCAATCGCTATGCTTTCATTGTTTATTTTGAATACATCACTTGAGGGCAGGAATATTTTGTCCCACAGACAGGCCAGTCCGAAGTGAGCTGGTCTGATTTTGAATCCTTATAAACTTCCTCTTGAAACAAATGTGTCGAGCTGGGTCCACAGATGCCTGGGACCAACTGTAGAACTGGACGCTCTCCAATAGACAGTACAGTATTTATTACATGATAAGTAACCAAAACGTGCCCATTCAAAGCCTACAGACATGTTATTAAACCTTAACCATAGTCACATCAATTGTTTAGAACATAGCCCCCCAAAATATTTTTTAGGGGATGGGTAGGAGGATTTTATCACTTATTTAAAAATTGCTGGTGCATGGTGATAACAAAACGGAGACTGGCTTGTAAGTTTTATTACTGTTTTCAAGTTCTCTATGTAAATGCACCTCCTTCGACCCTTGGTTTCCTACTGAGTGGGAGAGCTCCTACTCTCCAGTTTTGATGATGGGCACACACGTGCCCACAGTTCTTCAGCAACATCAACGTTCTTGTTTCTGATCCTCCTTCCCCGGCTCAGGTCCTCAGCTCGTCTCGGGGTTGCAGGGTTGGCATGGAAGACAGGACTAGCTACATCAGATGTCTTCCTAAATCTTTTTTACACTTGGACAAAGATATTTAAATGAAAGTAAAAAGTGTGCTTGCTTCCCCTTGACAGTTTCCCTCCTATGACATGATGACTCATGTCTGCTTGATCTGAAAAAAAGCCCTTAGGTAGGATGATCATGAAAACAAGACTGACGCACTTTTTTAAAAAAATTAATTAATTTTTGTTACAGATATTTCTCCCTTTTCCCCCACTAATTCCCTGCTCTCCCTTCCTCTCCACCCTGTCCCCAGCTTTGTTGTCCATGTCCATTGTTCATGCATATATGCATATGAGTTCTGTAGTTTATCTCTCACCCACCACCCCTTCTTCTGGGGATTGTCAGTCTGTACCCCACTTTCACGACTCTGGGACTACCCCATTCCTCAGACTGTTATGTTCATTATAGTCCACAAATAAGTGAGATCATATGATATTTGTCTTTCTCTGTTTGGCTTGTTTTGCCTAGGATAATACTTTCCAGGTCCCTCCATGTAGTCTCAAAGGATAAGAGATCTTTCTTTTTTACAGCTGCATAGTACTCCATTGTGTATATGTACCAAAGCTTTTTTATCCATTCATCCACTGATGGACTTTTGAGCTGTTTCCACATCTTAGCTATTGTAAATAGTGCTGCTATGAACATGGGGGTACATATATTCTTTCTGATTGGTGTTTCAGGCTTCTTAGGATTATTCCTAGAAGTGGGATCACTGGGTCAAATGGAAGTTCAATTTTTAATTTTTTGAGGTAACACCATATTGTTTTCCATAGTGGCTGCACCAGTCTGCATTCCCACCAGCAGTGTATTAGAGTACCCTTTTCTCCACACCCTCACCAACACTTGTTGTTTGATGATTTGTTGATGGCGACCATTCTGACAGGTGTGAGGTGATACCTCATTGTTGTTTTAATTTGCATCTCTCTGATGATTAGTGATGTTGAGCATTTCTTCATATGTCTTTACTCATTTGTATGTTCTGTTTGGAGAGGTGTCTATTTAGTTCCTCTGCCCATTTTTAAATTGGGTTCTTTGTCTTCCTTTAGTTGAGTTGTATGAGCACTCTCTATATATTGGAAAGTAACCCCTTATCTGATATATCATTGGCAATTATGCTCTCCCATACAGTTGGCTGCCTTTCCATTTTGATGATTGTATCTTTTGCTGTGCAGAAGCTTTTGAGTTTGATGTAGTCCCATGTGTTCATTTTCTTTGTTTCTGTTGCCTTAGGTGATGTATCAGTGAAAATTCTGCATATGATGTCTGAAATTTTGTTGCCTACATTTTCTTCTAGGATTTTTATGGATTCATGAGTCACATTTAAGTCTTTTATCCATTTTGAGTTTGTTCTTATGTATGGTGTAAGTTGATGGTCCAGTTTCATTTATGTGCATGTAGCTGTCCAATTTTCCCAACACCATTTATTAAAGAGGCTGTCTTTACTCCACTGTATGCTCTTGGCACCTTTGTCAAATATTAATTGAGCATATTGCCTTGGGTCCATTTCCGGGTTCTCTGTTCTGTTCCACTGGTCTACATGCCTGTTCTTGTGCCAGTCCAGGCTGTTTTGATTACAGTGGCTTTGTAGTATAACTTGAAATCTGATAATGTGATCCCTCCAACTTTGTTCTTCTTTTTCAAGATTGCTGTGGCTAAAGACTGATGCACTTTTGGTAGTGAAAGGGGACACCGAATAATGATGCCAATACAAGTGTAAGCTGGGTCTCTCTGGGCACATCAGTGAAGAAATTAAAGAGAAGTGTGTTATTGTGTGTGTGTGTGTGTGTGTGTGTGTGTGTGTGTGTATTTGGGGCCGGAACAATCATAAAACATACCAGTTATTACTTTAAAATATGACATTGTGCCACATAAAAAATTTAACATATAACACTGCTAAATCCCCCTGGTCTTTTAGATACTTTTAATGATATAATTCTAGCAGTCCATATATTATTTTAAATGATGTTCTTTATCTTTGCTCTCTTTGCATTAAACACAGTCTTCTGGCTTAAGCCAAAGGATCACTTAATGGAAGCAAAAAAGATTTCTAGTTTTCAGGAATGCCCGATGGTTTCCGTCTTTTCCTCAGCAACAGTTTTCTGAGACCCTTGTTCCATTTTTGCTTACTATCGGTGCTTGGATTTTTCCACTTTCCACTTACTTCCATAAAGTTACCGCTGGCCCCTCAGCCTTGCTGGAGCGTCCTTCACTGCCCTCCCTAAACCCGCGCCGAGGGCCCCACCCAGGGCTCGCCGCTGAACTGCCGACACCTGCCGTGCAGAGCATGTGTCTCTGTGCCCTTCAACTTGAGATGCTACTTCAGGCTATACTGGAAGCCACATTGTTTCCTTGTCCTCGGCTCCTCTGGGGGTTCGATGCCGTGCTCTGGAAGATGCCTTCGAGGCGCTCTGAAGGTCCCGAAGAACCTTGCTCTCGGCAGGGGTACGGTCCCCGTGGGCAGGAAGCTCCGACTGGGTCTACTGCTTGGTTCTGCTTGTGGCAGTCTACAGGTATCCTCCACGGCCCCTCCGTTATTCCCAGGGACAGACTCCAGTGGAGTAAAGTCAGGCCCTGCAAAGAGCTAAAGGGAGACAGGATGGAAACCACTACCCCGGGTGCTCCAGGTCTCTGGGGTTGGCACGCCCTCTGCTGCCCACTGGGAACCCTGTTTCTGACCTCCTGTCTTAGGAGGGAGTCCGTACTGTCCTCTGGTTTCCACAGGCCTTTCCCACCGCGATAGCTCTCACCCCACAGGCCAAGGAACCCCTGTGGGGTCCTGCAGCCCTCGAAGTCACGCAGGGAATGAGAAACTGTCATTTTGTGGGTGAGGACCCTGTGCAACGAGTGTATGTCAGGCTTTAGTCAGTTACACTGAGGTAGAGCTCAAACCAGGTAGACATTCATGAGAACACTACATTCTAGAAGTACAATTTGAATACTGTTTACGTTGTCGTGTGCTCTTTCCTGGTTGACATCTCCAACAGTTTCAACCGTCACTTTTGCACACCATGGCATTGGCCAAAGGGATCTGCCAAAGGCAAGGAAAGTATGCAAAAGTTTACCAAAATATTGTACATAATCCTTATTTAAACTTTGAGTACAGGAACAAAGAAGAAAGTATCAACCACTTAAAAGTCCACCACTAAAAGTTAACTGTTTTTATCATTTTGGTGAATATTTTTCTAGTTTTCTCCTATAATGTGTCACAGGTTTGCCCAACAGCAGCTTTAAATAAATATTATTCAAGTCACCTGTCTCTATCTGGCATTTGCTTTACCATTCAAAACATTTATTTATCCCAAGATTTTTTTTTATCCTCACCCGAGGACATTTTTGCATTTATCTTCAGATAAAGCAAGAGGAAGAGAGGGGGGAAGAGAGAGAGAGAAACATCAATGTGAGAGAGACACATTGATTGGTTGCCATCCACACGACCCCAACCGGGGCCAGGGACAAACTGCAACCGAGGTACATGCCCTTAGCGGGAACCGAACCCGGGACTCTCTGGTCCGCAGGCCAACGCTCCAACCGCTGAGCCAAACTGGCCAAACCAGCCAGGGCTATCCCAAGATTTTTATAGCAAAGTTTTCTAGTGAAAATTATGGTTTATTTTTTCCAGTTTTTATTAAAGTAGAATAATTGGGGGTTTCTAGTACGAGGTCATGTTACTAGTCATTTATGTTTAAATATGTATTTGTGCTATTTGTTGCATAATCCTTTCATTTGCCCAGTGACTTAAGATACCAAAATGACATATTAAATAATACGTCTACCAAGGTCTGCTTCCGGACTTGCTCTGACGTGTAAATCCATCTGCTATTACTGTTTTGACCACTGATGCTACAATCAGGTCTGGCATCTGCTCCTCTAAATGCCAGCCAGCCCCCCACTCCATGATCCTCCTGTGGTGAATCACTTCATTATTATTTTCTAGACAAATCTGTGTTTTTCAAATTCTTCCAAAAACATGAGGTTTTTCACTGTAATTAATACTCCATCAACCACTCTACTAATTAACTGGAGCACAATCAATGTTTTTAATATTATTCTATCTTCCACCCAGAAACATGCTAGGGATGGATATTTATCCACATACTTTATGATGATTTCTTTAAAGATACCATGACTTGCCCCAAACTTCTTATGCTTAATCCTGGGTGTTTTATACATCGTCATTTAGGGATGCATTTGTACGTGGGATTCGTCTTTTTCATTGTAGATCGTTGTTTACGTATTTCCCAAAGTCTGCCGCGACCTCGGCGGGACCCCACGCCCTCCCCTCAGTCTTGCTTTTGGGTCAGCAGTCAGCCCCTGAAATTCCTCAGAACTGCGTCACTTTTACGAAGGGCTCTTCCTGTTCTGCTTCTCTTGAGTCTTTTCTCCTGGAACAAATACAATGAAAACAGCAAACAAACACAAAAATTAAAAAAAAAAAAAACATGTCTGTTGTGTATCTTTTAGAGCAAGCTAATCCTTGACCCCACCCTGAGGATCTGAGTCAATTTTATCGAGGAAACAGACCAAGTCCCCAGGGCAGAGTCTGGGAAAGCAGCGCCAATACTTTGAGCCCTCACTGTTTCTCACCTTGGCATTGGCCAAAGAGATTTGCAAAAGGCAAGGAAAGTATGCGAAAGTTGACATAAAATCCTTTCCAAATCTTAATCATCTACAACACCAATATTTACCCCTGTCCTTCCTCTGCTCAACACTTCCACCCCCAGTGGCAGCCAGATGGTGTGAATGTCAAAGGCAGACTCCTTCCTGTGGGATGCTGTCATCTGTGGGAGGGGCTTTGGTCCTCTCCCTGACCTCCCTCGGATTCTTCAGTGACCAGGGTGTCCACAGACCGCCAGGGACCAGCAGCCCCAAGGAGCTTACTACACTCTCGGGTCCAAGGGCTGCCAGGGTCTGAGGATGAGAATATGGTGTTTGGACCTGTGCATGTTTGTGAAACACCTTCAGGGAGTGTGTGTCACACTAGGGCACCTTCACCACTAAACCTACTGGTACAGGCTGGGCAGAGCCGGTCTGTGAGACGTAGGAGCCTTGGGGGAGTCTGAAGTCACTATAGGGAGGACGAGGTTGTAGCCAAACCAAAGGCCAAACCTGTGGACACTGTCCTGATCTAAACCCGCCTGGAGGGCAGTGGTCTCAAGTATGCTTGGCCTTCCTTGTCGCAGACCTATAGCACACAGTTAGCTCCCTAAGGGGGGGGGGGCACTCACTCCTTTTCCACATCCTGGATGGAGTCAGGCAGAGGTTGATTCCTGGTTTCAGGAAGGAGGAAGACGACAAAGCTGGGGATGAAGGACGAGATCGCATAGATGATCCAGGGCAGGTGGGGAGAGTACACCGTTAGGATCATCAAGAGGGGAGCCAGCGCTGCCCCGACACTGCCAACCATTCCAACGATTCCTGAAGCCGTTGCCCTTGGAGTACAAACGACAATGCAAAAATAATCTGGTAAAAATCCGCACGTGTAGTTTGTGATTTATTATTTTGCTTCGATCATGGGAGACAGCCCAGCAGTGTTTAGATACATGAAGGTTGACAATATCCTACATCTCACATAAGCTCTTATTTGCTTGCAATTTTTTCCAGTACACAAGTGCATTAAGACATTTTCATTATTTAAAAAATAGCCAGACCCGTAGCATATACCCTTCTGTGGTTCAGTAGGATATGTAGGTGACACATTAAAGGACTTCACTCAGGGCCTGGCAAAAGTCACCTGCAAGTAAACTTGGCCTATAAATTGTTGCTATCATTGCTTGTTCTGATAACTAATCAGTCTTAGTTTACTTCCCACTATAAATGTTGATTTGCTGGGAAAGGTCTGTTTTCACCCTGATAGAGCTTCCATGAGATTGTGTACCTGATTATGGTGGGGATCAGCTCATTTCCGTGGGCAAGAGAGCCCATAATTGCCGCAGAAGAAAATCCCACTCCCAACGTTGACAAAACCACACGCGGAGTCTGCATATCTGGAGAGGAAGACCAGCGAGACTCAGGAAATCTGAGCTGATGGCGTCACCAGCTCCCAAATCATTAGCGGAAAGAGGTTTGCACGTGTTAAACGTGTTGTAGAGGAAGTACACAGAGGCAGCGCATACAGTGACTAATAGCTGAGAAAGAGAACTAATCTGCACATAACAGCTTACATCACGAACAAGAAAGCGGAGTTCTGGCATCACCTCTCCCTCCCTACACGTCAGAAATGTGCCAAAGATGAAGAGCGAAACTTGGGACCAGACAGAGTTTGCTTGCATTTATCCTGTCCAGAGTCTCCTCTGCCTTTCACGGATAACGCAGGACTGTCATATGAGCAATTGCTGAGGGATGTAAGACTCATCAGTTAAAACCTGGGTGCATATGCAATATTGGCATGGAGAGTCGACAGTATTGGAATAGAGAGTAGTGAAACACTGGGATTCATGTTGGTGGGTAGAGCTGGAAAGTAGCTTGATCTAGAATAATAGTTGAAGATGCAAGAATATAGACCTGTTCTGGGGGGGGAATAATAGACTTTGGAAACCTCTGAAAATACATTTTAGAGTTAGCTTCTACCCAATTTAAAAAAAAAAAAAATCTCTCATTACCACACTGGGTGGGCTCTACTGTATGGCAGCTGCATCGTTGCTGACATTCAAGATGAGTGAAGCCCACCAGCCGGGGATCCTAGAAAACACATCACTGCACTGGGAGTTAGTGAAGCATGGGGGCCACCTGGGTGCCCCTCTTTGTTACAGCTGGTCATTTAATTTAGTGACACTGATTCTCAGAAAGGCTGTGACTGCTTAATGCCTCGTTCCTGTTGTATACTTCTCTATTTGAAGACAAGAGTTTTTTATTCCCTGAAGCTAAGAAGACTTCCAGCATTGCAGTTATGGTGACCTAATACAAGACACACAAGTGGATATATAGAAATCAAGGAGTGGCCCAGCCAGTGAGGCTCAGTGGATTGAGCATCGTCCCATGGACTGAGGGGTCCTGGTTCGATTCCCGGTCAGGGCGCATACCCCGGTTTCCGGCTCAATTCCAAGTATGGGGCGAGCAGGAGGCAGCCGATCGATGTTTCTCTCTCACATTGTGTTTCTATCTCTCCCTCCCTCCCTTCCTCTCTCTCTACAAAATCAATAAAAACATATTTTTTTTAAAGATTTTTTTTCTTTATTGATTTTAGAGAGAGAGAAAGGGAGAAGGAGAGAGAGAAACATCGATGAGAGAGAACATCGATCGGCCACCTCCTGCATGCTCCCCACCAGGGATTTAGCCCACAACCTGGGCATGTGCCCTGACCGGGAATTGAACCAATGACCTCTTGATGCATGGAACGACGCTCAACCATCAAGCCACACCAGCCGGGCTAAAAAAGTTTTTTTAAAAGAAATTAGCTTTGGCCGATTTGGCTCAGGGATTAGAGAATTGGCCCGCGGACCAAAGAATTCTAGGTTCAGTTCCAGCCAAGGGCATGTAACTCGGTTGAGGTTCATCCTTGGCCCTGGTTGGGGTTGTGCAGGAGGCAACCAGTCAATGTGTCTCTCTCACATTGATGTTTCTCTCTCTCTCCCTCTCTCTTTCTCCCTCCTACTCTATCTGAAAATAAATGGGAAAATATCCTCGGGTAAGGATTAAAAAATTTTTTTCTTAAAAAAAAAGAAATCAGGGAGTGGATTGGAACCGAAGCTGTAGTGATCAGAAAGAGCCCAGACAGAGTAAATGAAAGTATTGTGTCGGCACACAAGACATAATTCTATATAATGGGCATCCCAGTCTGATTGGCCAAAGAAATGGTCAGGAATAAATGACACCAGTCGCCAGGTCCCTCTCAGATACGATGAAGACAAACTTACATCTAAATTGACTTCTACTGACCTTTGCCGCTTTCCCAACCACATAATGGTGGAATCTGTCCTAAATCCTAAGACTGGTGTTGGGAAATCATTGGAACCACATCCTCCCTCTCCATCTGACCTCAGACAGGTGTGAGTGCATTCCTCGAGGAAGGGGGAAGACATTCCTTCCTTCCACCTATGCTGCTTTCTTACCTCGAGGCACGAACGTGATGGCCAGAATGGAGCTCCCCACCAGGAGCAGGAAAAGCATCTGGCTTATTCTCCGGCCCAGGTGGTTCAGTGTCAACAGCGCAAAGTAATTGCCTGGGAGGGTGACTGCGCCAAAGAGAACCTGGGACAGGTAGACATTGCTCCCCAGGTACTGGAGGTGGAGACTCAGGCCGTAAAAGGGTATGAAGTTTGCAAATCTGTGGCGAGCAAAAGAAGAAAGATCGATGTCATCAGGTTCAGAACCGATGTCGTGCAAATGTTGGTAATGAATGTCGTCAGCCAAGCAGCCAGTAGTCGGTGATAAAGAATGAAGGCATGGTCAGTTTCGTAGAATACATCTTTGCATGGTAATGGTGTTGAAACTGCCATAAAATATTGTATGATGATGGAGGTCCTCATTGTTAGTAAGTGTTTCGAGAAGTGGGGAGTGTTGTTCTTGAGGATATGCAATGGGGCCTCCTAAGGTTTTAGAGTTTCTTCTGACTCCCAATCTGGGGGATAGCTGCAGAGTTTCATGTGCCAATATTCATGGAGCTGTATGGCCTGTGCACTTTACTGTTTGTAGTTTTACCTCAATTGCAATAGAAACAAACAAGTAAAAAACTGAAAATCAAAATCTGTACCGTGGTTGAGGTTCTCGGCTTCAGTTTGCAGAGATGAGCCTGGTAGGGCGATGTCATAAACAACACTCATTGTACAATTTGTGCCGTGTCGGTCTTGTTATAACCCTTTACTGTCTCTAAACACAGCCATTCGCCCTCTGGCTTCCTCCTGTTTTCCCTCAAACTGTTCCCATGGCATGTTATACCCTCTGAGATTAACAGACCCCTCGCACTCGCTGCGAAACCTACCTCACAAAGGCCAGGAGACAGATCCTTTTACGCATTTTGGGCGTGCGGAACAAATCAGACACCGGAGGTCTGGTCTGTGCTGCGTCCAGCTCCTCCCGCATGGCGGACCTCAAAACCTTCAGCAACAACAACAGCACACCGTTCAGTTGTCACAACACAGCAGGTATCGTCATCCCCCAAGAGAGGACAAGCCAGACCGCTTCCCTTTCTGTCTACTGGATAACACAGCTGTCGAGGACACGTTGACAGACATAAAAATGGTGAACTTGGGAGCTAAGGAACCCGCCAGGACGTGATGTAACCACAGGACACAATTCAGGAGGGCTGCAAGGCATCCGAAAGGGTCAGGAAGGGAAGAGGGTGCGGAGCGCCTTGGCTCATGGTCCAAAGCCCCGGTAATGCCAGAGGGGCGTGAAAGGCCTGGGATCCAAACGAGGGTCCCAGCTGGCTCTCCTTTGCAGAAAAACTGTTTGTCTCAGAAAAAAAGAGCATTTCGGAGAGTCTTTATTTGGGGTTCTGCTCAGTCTCTCTGCGGGAACCCTGACATGCGGGGCCTCCCTGACGGAAAGGCCTGAAAGTGAAGCTGACGATGAAATCTGGGGCGACCTCGGTGCAGAATGACTTGTCCCCAGAGCTGGCTATGCCCTGGAGTAACGTGCTAGGTATATACCTTGAGAAAGGTAGCACAATATTTCTAAACTTCAATGTCCTTGTCATTAAGGAGAAGAATAAGAATAAGTAGAAGAATCGGGAATAAGAGAAGGTGGAGAAAATAATAGCGCCTCCTCACGAGCATTACCGAGGCCACACAGGACGTCCCAAACGTGCACACGGATTACACCCAGCACACGTCAGATGCGGATTTACTGATTTCTTATTAAAATAATATTGACTTAATTCTCGTCTACAGATGAAACATCACCAGGACATCCAATGGAAAAATTCCACAAGGAAAGGAATTCAGGCACATAAAGGGCCACCTTAACTGAAGACCTACACGACCAAGAATGTCCTTGCAGCCCTGGCTGGTTTGGCTCAGCGGTTAGAGCATCAGCCCGCAGACCAAAGAGTCACCGGTTCGATCCCAGTCAAGGGCATGTACTTGGGTTGTAGGTTCAATCCCCGCCCCCCGTTGGGGTCATGAGGGAGGCAACCAACCAATGTGTCTCTCTCATATCAGTCTCTCTCTCTCTCTCTCTCTCTCTCTCTCTCTCTCTCTCTCCCACTCTATCTAAAAAATAAATAGAAAAATTGCCTCGGGTGAGGATTTGTTTAAAAAATAGCATATTCATCTCTGGCCAGTTTGGTTCAGCAGTTAGAACATCAGCCCATGGACTGAAGGGTTCTATTCCTGGTCAAAGGCACATACCTAGGTTGCAGGTTCAATCCCCAACCCTGGTTGGGTCATGTGGGAGGCAACCAATTGATGTGTGTCTCTCACATTGATGTTTCTCTCTCTCTCTACCCCTTCCTCCCTGCCACCCTTCAACTCTATCTAAAAATCAATGGAACAATATCCTCAGGCGAGGATTAAAAGAAAGATAGCATATTCAAACAGTGTGATGATGGCCAGAAGGAAGAGGCCAGGTGGAGGGGAGTAAAGGGGAAGAAAACAGGACATCTATAAAGTGTCAACAATAAAAATAAAGAAAAAAAAATAGTATATTCAGCAAAAATGTCCTTTAAAAATTAAGGAGATAAAGACTTTCCCAGACAAAACCCGAAGAAACTTGTCACCACTATGCCTGCCTTATAGGAGTGCTAAACAGAATCACAAAGGAAGACAGCAATAGGAGAGAAAAACAAAAGAAATACAAAATAGAACAATAATTTGTCAATAGTAAGTACTGACTTATCAGTAATTACTTCAAATGTAAATGGATTAAACTCATCCATCAAAAGGAATGCATAAAAAGAACAAGATCTGCCCAGCCACTGTGGTTCAGTGGATTGAGCATTGTCCCATGGACTGAGAGGTCCTGGTTCGATTCCTGGTCAGAGCACATGCCTGGGTTGGGGGTTCAATCCCCAGTAGGGGGTATGCAGGAAGCAGCCAGAGGCAGCCAATCAATGTTCCTCTCTCACATCAATGTTTCTATCTCTCTCCCTTCCTCTCCCTCTAAAAAATCAGTTTTAAAAAAACACAAAACCTATTTTAGCCCAGCCTGTGTAGCTCAGTGGATTGAGCATCGGTCCCATGGACTGAGAGGGCCTGGTTCTATTCCCAGTCAGGGCACATGCCCAGATTGTGGGCTCAATCCCCAGTAAGGAGTGTGCAGGAGGCAGCTGATTGATGTTTCTCTCTCATTGATGTTTCTATCTCTCTCTCCCTCTCCCTTCCTCTCACTCTAAAATTCAATAAAAATATATTTTTTTAAAAAGAACAAGATCCAACTACATGCTATTTACAAGAGATTCACTTTAGATTTAAGGACACAGTAGACTTTAAGGAAAGGAATGGAAAAGGACATTCCATGCAAATGCTAACAAAAATAGAGCAGATGTAATCAAACTTATATCAGATAAAATAGACTTCAGTCAAAAACTGTCACAAGAGACAAAGAAGTCATTATATTATGATAAAGGGATCAATCTAACAGAAAGATATAACAGTTATAAACATATATGCACCCAAGAAGAGAGCACCAAAATACATAAAATAAACATTCACAAATCTGAAGGGAAAAATAGACAGCAATACAGTAATATCAGGAAACTTCAATATCCTACTTTCAATAATGGGTAGATCATTGAGATAGAAAATATATAAGAAAACAGAAGGCTTTGACAACACTATAAACCAAATGGACAAAACAGACATATGCAGAACATTCCATCCCATAGCAACAGGATATACATTTTCTACAGCTCACACAGAACATTCTCCAGGATAGATCCCATACTGGGTCACAAAACAATTATTAAGACATCTAAGAAGTTTGAAATCATTCCAAGTATTTTTTCCAACCACAATGGAATAAAACTAGATCAATAACAAAAGGAAATGGACTCAAAAATTAAACAAAACACTCTTGAATAACTATTTGGGTAAAAGAAGAATTCAAAAGGGAAAAACAGAAAATATCTCAAGACAAATGAAAATTAAAATAAAACATACCTAAATTATGTGACACAGCCAAAGCAGTACTAAGAGGGCTATTTATAGTAATAAACACCTACCAAAAAAAATCTCAAATAAATAACATTACTTTGTACCCTAAGGAACTAGAAAAAGAAGCACAAACCAAGCCTGAAGTTAGCATAAGGAAGGAAACAATAAAAATTAGAGCAGAAAGAAATGAACTGAAGTACAAAAAAATTCATGAAAGAGTTGGTTTTTGAAAAGATGAACAAAATTGACAAACTCTTAGCTAGATTAACCAAGAAAAAAGAAGACAAAACTCAAATAAATAAAATCAGAAATGAAAGATGAGACATTATAACTGATGTCACATAAATAAAAAAGATCATAAGGGACTATAATGAACAATTATGTGCCAACAAAGTAGACAACCTAGAAGTAATAAATAAGTTCCTAGAAACATACAATTTACCAAGACTGAATCAAGAAGAAATAGAAATCCTGAACCAATAACTAATTAGGAGGTTGAAACAGTAATTTTTAAAATCACAGAAAGAAAAGCCTAATACCAGATGGCTTCACAGGGAAATTACACCAAACATTTAAAGAAGAATTATGCAAAAATAAATTAATTTTAAAAATAAAATAAAATAAAATAAACTATTCAAAATAAATAAATAAATAAAATTAAAATGTTTAATAGTGGGAAAAATTAACAAAAGAATAATATTTTATAAAGTGAAAATTTCATTGTCCAAAATAAAATTTTAGTGACATGCAAAATAATAATAATAATAATAATAATAATAATAATAATAAAGAAGAATTATGCCCTGGCTCACTTGGTTGGGTGTCATCTAGTGTACTGAAAGTACAGGGCACATGCCCAGGTTGCAGGCTCAATCCCCTGTGAGGGGCACGCAGGAGCAGTTAATTGAAGTTTCATTCTCGCATTAATGTTTTTCTTTCTCTCTCCCTTTCTCTCTCTCTAAAAAGCAATTAAAAAAAAAAAAGAAACATTTAAAGAAGAATTAACCAATCCTTCTCAAACTCTTGCAAAAAATAGAAAAGGGAACACTTCCAAACTCATTTTATGAGGACAGTATGACCCTGATACCAAAGTCAGACAAAGACACCATAAGAAAAGAACATAGATGGGAAAAATCTCGAATAAGATTTAGCAAACCAAATTCAACAGCATATTAAAAGGAACATACATCAGTGGGATTTATTTCTGGGATGTAAGGATGGTTCAACATAAGCAAATCAATAAATCTGATACACCCCATTAACGAATGAAGGCTAAAAATCACATGATCATCTCAATACATCAGAAAAATTATTTGACAAAATTCAACACACTTCCATGATAAAAACTCTCAACAAGTTGGGTATCAAAGAAACTTACTATAAATGCCATGTATGAAAAGCCCACAGCCAACATCATCTCAACATCTTTTCCTCTAACATCTAAAACTAGACAAGGACACCACTTCAATTCAACATAGGACTGGAAGTTCTAGCCAGAGCAATTAGGTAAGAAAAAATTAACGAAAGGCACCCAAATCGGAAAGAAAGAAGTAAAATGATCACTTTTTGCAAACAAGATGATCTTCTATGTAGAAAAGCCTAAAGACCACTCCAAAAATTCTTATAACTAATAAATGACTGTAATCAAGTACAGGATACAAAATCAACATATCAAAATCTGTTGCATTTTTATACACCAGAACAAACTACCTGAAAATTAAATTAAGAAAATAATCTCATTTATAATAACATACTTAGGAATAAACTTAACCAAGGAGGTGAAACATTTGTATACTGGAAACTATAAACATTGAAGGAATTAGAGCAGACACACAAAAAAGAAAAGACATCCCATGTTCATGAATTGAAATACTTAATATGGTGAAAATATTCATACTATCCAAAGTGATCTACAGAGTCAATATAATTCGCATCAAAATCCCAATGGCATTCTATACAGAAATAGAAAAAACAATCTTAAAATTAAATGGAAATTAAGGGTCCTACACAGAAGACCCTTAAGAGTCAAAGCATTTTTTTAGCATAAAAAATGCTGGAGGCATCATATGTTCTGATTTCAAAATATATTAGAAAGCTACAGAAGCCAAGAATATGGTACTGACATAAAAACAGATAGACAAATGAAACAGAATAGATAACCCAGCAATAAACCCACGCATATACAGTCAATTTATCTCTGACAGTGTCAAGAATTTATGACAGAGATAGAATAGAGCTGTCAATAAATGATGTTGGGAAAATTGGATATCCACAGGCAAAGTAACAAAATTGAAAATTTATCTTATACTATACACAAAAATCAATACAAAATGGGTTCAAGACTAAAATGTAGGACCTAAGACTATGAAATTTCTGAAGAAAACATAGGAGAAAACTTCTTGATATTGGTCTTGGCAATGATTTCTCAGATATGACGCCAAATGCACAAGCAACAAGCAAAACTAGACATGTGGGACTACATCAACTAAAAAATCTTCTGCACAGCTAGGAAACAATTAAAATGAAAAAGAAGCTGTAAAATGGGAGAAAATATTTACAAACTAGGTATGTGATAAAGGATTAATGTCAAAAATATATAGGGAACTCCTACAACTGAAGAGCAAAAAAAGCCAAATACCTCAATTTAAAAATGGGCATACGAACTGAACAGACATTTCTCCAAAGACGATACGCAAATTGCAAACAGGTACATGAAAAAGTGCCCACCATCAGTAATCATTATGGAAATACAAACCAAAACCACAATGAGTTATCACTTTACACCAGGATTGCTGTTATTTTTAAAAAGATAATAAGTGTTGGTGAGGACATGGAGAACATGATACCCTGTACACTGTTGGTGAGAATCTGAAATGGTATAGCCACTATGGGGACAGTATGGAGGTTTCTCAAAAAATTAAAATTATAACTATCGTATGATCCCATAATCTTTCTTCTGGGTGTATATCCAGAAGAATTGTAAACAAGATCTTGAAGAGATATTTGTATACACATGTTCATTGTAGAACTATTCACAAAAGCCAAACCATAGAAGAACCAACCTAAATTCCCATCAATGGAAAAAGAAAATATGGTATATAGATACAATAGGATATTACTCATTCATAAAAAAGGAAATCTTTCTCTTTGCTGAAACATAGATCAAGCTTGAGGACCTTTTGCTAAGTGAAATCTACACAATCATTATATTTATAAATACTATGTGATATCTGCCTCTGTTGAGTAAAATATCTGTGTCCAATTCTTTCATCAGCAGCATATTTGCCCTCAATGTTAATCCAAATAATGTTGATAGTCATTGAGAACCAGGAAAATAAAGCAAAATGATGGGTATCCCCGCCCTTTTATCATTGTATGGACACCATCCAGAGTTTAAGTCAGGTCACAAGTCTTCCCTGTATCCCATAACCAACTCCCTCTCCTGCTCACCTCCATGGTTAGGGTATCTCCAGCATTCTTTTTTCCATTTATGTGGGCGGCTTTTCTAAGTTCCTTTAAGCCCTCCTCTGGTTTGTTGGTGATAATCAGCCACCGAGCAGACTCTGCCAACCACCTGCTCAAAGAAGAAGACAGAGCTGCAACCAAATCTCCTTTGCCCATTTTTCATATATTCTTTGTCCTGAAATGCCTCTCCCCTCCCCTCTAATAGCTACCTCCTGTTTTGTATACCAGGAAATAGGAACTTAAGTTCTCCTGTACCATAACTAGGAAACTCTGAGGATGACCTCTCCATGCAATACACCTTCACAGCTGGGAATGTAGAGTAGGAGTCATATTGGCCTCCTCCTATCCAAGGGATTATTATCAGCTTAGCAAATAAAAATAGTGTGCCTAGTTAAATTTGATTTCAGTTAAACTGTGAACATGAGTAATACTTAAGTGTAACTCTGTCCCATGCAATATTTTGAACATACGCTAAAAAGCATTTGTTATTTATTTGAAATTTTACTTTAATGAGACACCCTGTATTTTTTCAGGTTAGTAAATAAAACTAAAGTCCTCTCAGATAAATAGAAATTATATATAAACAAATAATTTTTAGGGTAACTGTGCACCATGCAATGTGTGGGATGTTATACCAAAAAAAAAAAAAAAAAGTTTATCTGAAATTCAAATTTAATTGAGTCTCCTTGATATTATCTGGCAACCCTACCTGTTCTGCCTCTTGAATTGTACATAAGGCACAGATTAGTAGAGCACCGTGTTGACTAAGGACCTAACAGAATTCTGCGTTCTTATTCATGAGCCTACATCCCAGGATCCTTCAGACAAAGGAAGAAAGAGAGCTAATACCTTGAGGAAAGAAATAAGACCAAAAACGGTACAGAATACACCAGCTGAAGGATGTGCCAGTCTTGAATGACAAAAGCAAGTCCTCCCAGACTTATCTGCCCCACACAAGCGGCACAGATGGTCACTATCATTCCCGCGGCTTGGTACCGGGGCACTGTCCATTCTATAACTGAAAGAAAACACAGATGGGATTTTGACTTCAAACAAAGTTGGAATTTCAGAGTCAAAAGTAGGGCTTGAAAAGTGTCAAAGATCCAGAGTTGTTACTTACTAAGCAGAGTACTGTTTATCAGGATGCCCATGGCGGAAAAGCCGGCCAGGAGGCGCAGTGCGCAGTAAACAAGGAGTCTGGGAGCAAAGGCGGTGCAGGTCCCAGCAACGGTGAGCGCCAGCAAACACCACTTGAGAACTAACCTCCTCCCAAACCTGAGACACGGAGACAAGTTAGGTGTGTGAACAATAACAACCTGTTGTAAAAAAAAAAAAAAAAAAAAAAAAACTATCAAAAAGAAGGCATACTTTGAAATTTAGGGGATGTTTCTATAAGTGAAACTTTGTACTTGAAACCATCAAGAATCAACAACAGATCTTCTCAGAAGCAACCCTCTCGTTTGTAAAGAGACACTGAGTATAACAAAACTTCTCCAGTCTGTTACCAGTAGAACTTTGAGGTCAATTAAAACCATATAAGACAGCCTGCAATACAGAGTCCCCTTTTATATGTGGTTTTCCTTTGCATGGTTTCAATTACCAGTGGTCACCCACAGTCCAAATATATTAAATGGGTAGCCACAGCAATTTTGAGAAAGAAGAACCAAGTTGGAGGAACCAGGCTACCTGATATCAAACTATACTACAAGGCCATAGTAATAAAAATAAAAAAAGCATGGTACTGGCATGAAAACAGACATATAGGTCAGTGGAACAGAATAGAGAGCTCAAAAATAAACCCATGCCTATATGGTCAATTGATATTTGACAAGGGAGGCAAGAAATTACAATGAGGTAAAGACAGTCTATTCAATAAATGGTATTGGGGAAAATGAACAAATATATGTAAAAAAAAAAAAATGAAACTAGACCACCATCATACACCATATACAAGAATAAACTCAAAATAAATCAAAGACTTAAATGTAAGACTTGAAACCATAAATCTCCTAGAAGAAAACATAGGCAGTAAAATCTTGGACATTTCTCATAGTATATTTTTTCCGATATATCTTCTTGGGTGAGGGGAACAAAAGAAAAAATAAACAAATGAGACTACATCAAACTAAAAAAGTTTTTTTGCAGCAAAGGAAATTATCAACAAAATGAAAAGACAACCTACTGAAAAGGAGTACATATTCGTTGGTGATACATCTGATAAGGGGTTAATATCCAAAATGTATAAAGCACTCTTACAATTCGACACATTGAAAAAAACTAACAATCCAATTTAAAAATGGGCAAAAGACCTGAATATACACTTTTCCAAAGAGGACATACAGATGGCCAATAGACATAAGAAAAGATGCTCAATATCACTAATCATCAGAGAAATTCATATTAAAACCTTAATGACATATCACCTCACACTTGTCAGAATGGTTATCATCAATAAATCAACAAACAAGTATTGGCGAGGATGTGGAGAAAAGGGGACCCTCGTGCACTGTTGGTGGGAATGCAGATTGGTGCAGCCACTGTGGAAAACAGTATGGAGTTACCTCAAAAAATTCAAAATGGAACAACTGCCTTATGACCCTGTGATTTACTTTTGGGTATATATCTGAAGAAATCCAAGACACTAATTCAAAAGAATATATACACCCTTATGTTCATTGCAGCATTATTTACAATAGCCAAGTGCCCATCAATAGACAAGTGGATAAAAAGTGGTGGTACATATATACAATGGAATATTACTCAGCCTTAAAACAAAATCTTACCATTTGTAACAGCGTGGATAGACCTGGAGGGTATTATGCTAAGTGAAATAAGTCAATCAGAGAAAGACAAATATCATATGATTTCACTTACATGTGGAATCTAAAGAACAACATAAACAAACAAACAAAACAGAAAAAGACTCACAGATACAGAGAACAGAATGATGGTTGCCAGAGCGGAGAGCAGTTGAGGGACTGGGTGAGAAAGGTGAAGGGCCTGGGAAGTACAGATTGGTAGTTACAAAATAGTCATGGGGATACAAAGTATAGCATAAGAAATATAGTCAACAATATTATAATAGCTATGTACGGTGCCAGGTGGGTACTGGAAATATCAGGGGGAACACTTCATAAAGTTTATGATTGTCTAAACACTATGCTGTACACCTGAAACTGATACAAAATAATATTGAATGTAAACTGTAATAGAAAAAAATGTCAATAGTAGATGAAAATTACAGAAATAAATAATTCATAAGCTTTAAATTGCACAATGTTCTGAGTTACATGACAAAATCTCTCACCGTCCTACTCATTCCTCTCAGGACATGAATCATCCCATTGTCTAGTGGATCCATACTGTATACACCCTTTAATCAGTAGTCAATTATCAATTCAACTGTCATGGTATCATAACGCTTGTATTCAAATAACCCTGATTTTACTTAATAATACTACATCCACAGAACTTTTGCTACAGTATTTTATTATAATTATTCTTTTTTATTAATTATTGCTCATTTCTTACTTTGCCTAATTTATAATTTGAACTTTATCATGAATACATATGTAGAGGGGGGAAACCATACTGTTTTAATCACTATGGCTTTGTAGTATAGTTTGATATCAGGTAATGTGATATAACCAACTTTGTTCTTTCTCAAGATTGCTCAGGCTATTCAGGGTCTTTTGTGGTTCCACATAAATTTGTGGAATATTTGTTCTAGTTCTGTGAAATATGCCCCTGGTATCTTTATAGGAATTGCATTGAATCTATAGATTGCTTTGGGTAGCATGAACATTTTAATTATGTTAATTCTTCCTATCCATGAAATGGTATATGTTTCCACTTATTTGTATCTTCTTCGATTTCTTATACTGTACCAAATACAGGTCTTTTATTTCCTTGGTTAATTTTATTCCTCGGTATTTTTTCTTGATGCAGTTGTAACTGAGATTGCTTTTCATGGTTACTCTTACTGATAGTTCATTACTGGTGTATAAAAATGCCATTGATTTCTGAATATTAATTTTTTATTCTGCTACTTTATTGAATTTATTTATCGGTTCTAGTAGTTTTTGGTGAAGTCTTTAGAGTTTTCTATATGCAGTATCATGTAATCTGCAAATAATCACAATTCTATTTCCTCCTTTCCAATTTGGATGCCTTATATTTCTTCTCTTTATCTGATTGCTATGGCTAGGACTGCCAGTAATATGTTAAATAAGAGTAGTGAAAGCAGACATCCCTATCTTGTTCTTGATCTTAAGGGACATGCTTTTAGTTTTTGCCCATTGAGTATGATGTTGGCTGTGGGTTTGTCATATATGGCCCTTATTATGTTGAGATATGTTCCTTCTCTTCCCTTTGCTGAGAGTTTTTATCATAAACGGGTGGTGGATTTTATCAAATGTTTTTTCTCCATCTGTTGCTATAATCATATGATTTTTATCCTTCCATTTTGTTTATGTGGTGTATCTATGGCCATTTATCAGACAGGTGAGTGTTTCTATCACTCACCTGATTTGCTGATATTGTACCAACATTGCATCCCTGGAATAAACCCCACTTGATCATGGTGTATGATTTTTTTCTTTAATCCTCACCCGAGGACATTTTTGCATTTACCTTCAGATAGAGAGGAAGGGAGAGAGAGAAACATCGATGTGAGAGAGACACATCGATTGGTTGCCACCTGCACGACCCCAACTGGGGCCAGCGACGAACCACAACCAAGGTACATGCCCTTAGCAGAAATTGAACCCAGGACTTTCTGGTCCACAGGCTGACAGCAGACGCCCTAACCACTGAGCCAAACCAGCCAGGGCAGTTTATGATCTTTTTAATGTATTGCTAAATTTCGTTTGCTGATATTTTGTTGATAATTTTAGCATCAATGTCCATCAGGAATGATGGCCTATAATTTTCTTTCTTTGTAGTGTCTTTATTCATTCAGCTACCCTATGTCTTTTGATTAGAGCATTTAATCCATTTACATTTAAAGTAATTATTGATAGGTACTTATTTATTGCAATTTTATTCTTTATACCTATGTTCCTCCCTCCCTCTCCCTCTCTCTCTCTCTCTCTCTCTCTCTCTTTCTTTTTTTCTTCTTAAAGAAGACCCCTTAACATTATTTTGTGTGTGTGTGTGTGTGTGTGTGTTTGGGAAGCTCTTTATTTCTCCTTCAATTTCAAATGATAGCCTTGCTGGATAGAATAGTTTTGGTTATAGGTCCTTGTTTTTCATCACTTTGAATATTTCATGCTAGTCCCTCTGGCCTGAAATGTTTCTGTTGAGAAATCAGCTAATAGCCTTATGGGAACTCCCTTGTAAGTAACTAACAGTCTTTCTTTTACTGCTCTTAAGATTCTCTCTTTATCTTTACCTTTGCCATTTTAATTAAAATGTGTCTTGATGTGGGCCTCTTTGGTGATTCTGAACACTTAAATTACATTTACTGTCATACATTCAGAGTTCATAGTTTTCAGCTGAAATAACAGAAGACATTATGCTGGTAGATGGTAGGGGTGCCTTCATTCTCCATAGCCTTCAAAGGAGACATGCTTGAGTGGTGGCAATAGTTGGCTATCTAATTCAGAAACAGTACTGAAATAGGCCCAGGATACTGCAACTTCCAACACCACAAATGGTGACAGAAGTTGCCATTAGATTAATTACCTTACATGGTTGAAAAATTTACCTTTAAAAGTTGTGGGTTTTTTTCAAAAACAAAAATCGAGGTTACTAGAATAATTTTTTATCCACCACCACGACAAATTGCTGTATGTACACCATGAGTTTAATAGGAATGTCTATCCATCACACTTAAGAGACAAGGACATAATGTCTATGCTCTGGAAATCCATACACATTCAGCTCCCAGGGTCCAGGAGGGTCTGAACATTGCCTGCAAAATTGTTTTACATACCTATGTCTTCCAATAGGCTGAACCTCATGCTGTGATTCCTCTTCCTCTCTGTTCCCGCAAGTATCTCTTTCTCATCTCTCTAAACCACATGTTGTGGCGTCTCTTCTCTAAACCCTGTCCTGAAATGCCACCCTGTCTCACGGAGGTGTTGTTTCTGTATCCTGCGCACAGCACTCACGGCAGAAAAAATAGCACTCGCCACACTAACTGTAATTCTTCACTTGTGTTCCTAGATCCCTGGGGGCCTACAAAGCCCCAGAACAGTGTAATTTGTGATAAGTGTTTCCTAATGGAAGAATGATTCGGTGTCCGTGAAAAGACCCCGCAGTGAAGAGACCTGTGATCCAGGAACACTCACCTGTCTGATAAATGGCCATAGATGATACCTCCCAGCAGCATTCCAACCATGAATGAGAATTTGACTACTGATTTCAGTGACTGAGATTCACATACCAGGTCCCACTGGAAGGGAAGGAAACCATCACAGCAGAGCTTCAGAGCAGGTTATAACCCCTCAGTAGAGACCTGATTGAAACAGCTCACGTGACTTATGCATTTCTTTTGATTAGAACCCTTCCTCCTCTCCAGCTTTTATTTTTGGCATCATCTGACCTTTATTATTCAGGTCTCAGCTTAAACATGACTTCCACTAGGAAGCCTCCTCTAAACCTACTGGCTGTATTAATGCCTTGTTTTATTTTCTACTTAGTAGCTCTCAATCTTGGCAGCAGACTGCAATCATTTGAGAAGTTTTAAATGAACCAATGCCAGAATTTCACCACAGACCTTCTCATACGGCTGTTCTGGGGTACAGTCTGTGTTTGGAGGGTTTTGTCAACTTCCCAGATGTTTCTGGCATTTAAAACAAGTAATTAATATTTGCTGAAGGAATGAGGAATGAGCACCTACATGGCGGCTAAGGTCCATCACTTGTGTCATCCCTAAAATCCCAGACCACATACCCACAAGAGATAAATAGGGCTTCTTACCTTTGTCACGATAGTGGAGGAGAAGGAGCTGCGGTCATACACCCAGCCATCCACACAGGGCTCCGTGTCTGGCTCGCTTGTGTTAGACAAGGTCCCATTCAGGTGAAGGAGCTGCCACTGGGGGCGGAGGAAGCGGCGGCATTTCTCTGGCCTCAGGTCTGAGTCCAGCGGGATGGAGACTCTCAGGAGGGCGTCTTGCCTGAGGATCCCAGTGCCGTTAGCAGAGACAGTGTCATTGTCAAGGATATGCACCCAGCAGCGGTGGCCAGGGACGGCTGCAGTGAAGTTCTCTATTAGAATATGAGGGCACACCATGAAGCAGGAGAGACAAAGGAAAACCATCTGAAGAATCTGGAATCTGCCCAGTACCCCAGCTTCATCCAGGAGCTTATAAAAGGCCATCGAGGGTGAACAGGTGGGCCCCGAGCAGAGACAGAATGACCACAATTAGAAAAGTTCAGAGAGAAAAGGGGTTTCCCTTCACCAGGTCACGTTCTGTGTGCTGATCCTGGTCACACTTGCTCCTCGGTGGGCCCCGCCTCACCCCAACAGCTGGGCCATGGAAACTTTCTCCAAGTGGTTTGAGGATCAGGCAGGTTGCCGTTTTCCTGAAAGTTAAAGAGAAATATTTAGCTGAGATAGTACCAGCAGTTGACAAGAAACACTGTTTCAAGGTTTACTTGTTGAAAATTGATTTCATCAGCAGTGCCCCAGCATAGCACTGGACTCTGATCCCCACATCTGTAGATAAATAAAACAAACCAAAACATGGTTAGCAGACCTTTTCATGTGCCATGGAACGAGACTCCAAAGTGAGATTTTTAAAATTTTTTTCTATGAAAAATACTAAAAGTGAGTGCTTTGCTCGAATTTTGATGAAAAGAGTTAATGAAAACAATCCTGAATTACATTAAAATAAGTGAAATATAGTACAATCCTTCCCTTTGGGTAAGTGACATTCTGCTTCAAGTCAAATCAAACTATGAATTCACTTTGAAAATAAGTTATTCAAAAGGGGGCAGAGTGGGTAGTGATGGAGGGTAGAAGGCTAAGCCAAGTGATAACTCCTAACAAGGTTTCGTTTGTTTGTTTGTTTTGTTCTTTTGTTAATCCTCACCCAAGGACATTTTTTTCCACTGACTTTTTTAGAGAGTGGAAAGGAGGGAGGGAGAGAGGAAGAGCGAGAGAGACATTGACGTGAGAGAGACACATATTGGCTGCCTCCTACACAAACCTCGACCTGGGCAAGGAATCAAACCACGACACCTTCAGTACACAGTAACCTCTGACACTCTAACCTCTGAGCCACACCAGCCAGGACTCTTCAGCTTGTTTTTATTTAGTTCGCTCTTTTTATAGTTTCTTAAAATGAAAGCTTAGATTAATGGTTTTAGAGCTTTCTTTTTTCCTAAGATATGCATTCAGGGCTATAAATTTCCCTCAAACACTGATTACACAACATCCCACAAATTTTCGTAGGTTGTATTTTCATTTTCATGTATTTCCAGATATTTTAAATTATTCTTGAGAGTTCTTCTCTGACCCACGTGTTATTTAGTAGTGTGCTGTTTAATCTCCAAGTATTTAAGGATATTCCAGCTATGTTTTTCTTGTTGATTTCTAGTGAAATTCCATTGTTGTGTGAGAGTATGCATTGTACAATACCTATTTTTTAAATTTGTTAAGGTGGCCCTGGCCAGTTTTGCTCAGTGGTTAGAGCGTCGGCCCCTAGACCAAAGAGACGCAGATTCAATTTCAGTCAGTTGTAATTCAATCCCTGCCCTGGTCAGAGTCATGCAAGAGGCAGCCAGTCGATGTGTCTCTCTGACATCAATGTTTCTCTTTCTCTCTCTCTCTCCTGCTCTGACTGAAGATAAATGGAAAAATATCCTCGGGTGAGGATTTAAAAAAAAAAAAAAAGAAAGAAATTTGTTAAGGTGTGTTATATGGCCCAGAATATTTCGGCGAATGTTCTGCATGAACTTGAGAAGAACGCGTATTCTGCTATTGTTGAATGAAGTAGTCTATGAACGTCCATGACACAGTTGGTTGATGGTGCTGCTGAGTACCATCGTACTGATTCTCTGCCTCCATTTCTGATAGAAGGGTATTGAAATCTGCACCATAATAATGGATTCACCTATTTCTCTGCAGTTCTATTAGTTTTTACCCCGCGTATTTTGATGCTCTGTTGTTTGGTGCATGCACATTAAGGGTTGCTATGCTTTCTTGGAGAATGGTCCATTGTTTGCTTGTTTTTCTTCCTGATCTTCACGTTTCTTCACCTCTGATGCTTTGCATTCACTCTTGTTTCTGCCACTTCAGATATACCGTTGAGACACTTAGTGGATTTGTCACTTCACTATTGTGCTTTCCAAGTCACAGATTTTCCAGTGGGTCCTTTTATAACATCTGTCTCTTCATTGGCATGTTCTATCTGACAAGTCATGGTGATCACGCCTTTCTTTGGTTCTCAAACATGTTTTTGCAACATATTTAATAACTGCTTTGGAGTCTTTGTCTACTAAGCCTAATACCTGGGAAAACTTTGAAACTACAATAATGATCTCATTTTAGACCATTTCCATCACCTAAAGAAGAAACATCATTGCTATTAATATTCAAACCCAATAACCCCCATCCAAACTCTGGCAACCTATGATGCAATTTCTGCCTGTATGCATTTTTCTGTTCTTAAAAGAAAGAAATCTCTTTAGGGCCTTTCCACTGATTTGGAATTTAGTGTCGGTCCTTAATTGGGGGAAATGCTCGGCCATCATTACTTCAAATATTTCCACTACTCCTGTCTCCTTCCCATCCTTCCAGCAATCCCATTACGTGCATACTACACCTTCGCCATTGTCTCACAGTTCGGGAATACTCTGTCACATTGCTTCACTCTATGTCCTCTTTGTATTTCAGTGTGGGAGCTTTCGATTCACATATATCTTCAAGCATTCTTTTCTTAGCCGTGTTTAATCTACTTCTGAGCCCATCAGAGGCCTTCATTTCCATTACAGAGTTTTTGATTTCTAGCATTTCCATTTGGTTCCTTCTTAGAGTTTCCAACGCTCCGCTTATGTTTCTTTCTGTTGCAGCACGTTGTCCACGGCCCCCATTTGGGCCTTTCGCATATTACTCGTAGTCACAGTATTTTAAATTCCTGGCCTGATCATTCCAAATTCCAGGATTTGTCCGAGTCTGCGTGATGTTTGCTTTCTCCCTGCAGCACTGGGTGATCACATTGAGGTAACGAGGCCTTTGGTGTGGAGTTCAACGTTTATCTGTGTGTGTCAGAGGCTTCCGCTTCATCCAGTGTGCTTTTTATTTCTCCCTTCTTGTCCTTGGATCTGCAGAAATTCCTTCTATGGAATCTGGGTCTTGCAGCTCCCTCCCTTGTAATTTACCGTTATTGTCCCAGAGCCCTACGGATGTGGTGGTTGGGCCCTGGAAAGGGAAAACGTTCTATAATATTATGAATAATTTAAACATGTTTTTCTTTGTGGTGGGCCAGAGTCCCTGCACTGTGACCTTTAGACAGAGACACAGGAAATCTAGAGGTGACTGGAGTTGACGAGTTGCCTTTCTCCGCGTCAGTGAAGACAATGGCAATGTAGCTTCTCTTGAGGTCTGACCTTCCTTACAGAGAACAGGGCCAGGAGCAAATATTCCGGCTCTGGATACCTTTCAAAGTATTTCCTTTGCTTCTCTTCCTGTTGAAGGAAGAAGTCCTTTTTCTTTGATCTTTGTAGTGAGAACCAGGTGGGGCTCCCTGAATGTGTGGGAGCCTCGCTCTCCCAGAACTTTTAAATCTCAAACTAGTCTCCACGGAGATGCTGGTATTCTCCCGTCACAGGACCTGACATTCTTCCTCTCCTTCCTGCACCGGACGGAGCCTCCAGCTTTAGGGGCAGCGGGTGCCCTTGACCTCAGTTCTTCAACACATCTCAGAATAGTTGTTTTCCAGTTTGCATAGTTGTTTGTCTTTGTGTGAAGACACAAACGACATCTTCCCTGCGCTTTGCAGGTCACTTTGTAGGCTGCGTTCCGGAAGCACTGTGAAGAACTAGCCCACGTGAACTTCAGAGTTGACAGCTGTCATGTATTATGTTCAATAAAACATATGGTAGATTTGGTAATTTTCCAGTTTGTTTAAAGTCAATGCAATTGGCCCGGCCTGTGTGGCTCAGTGGTTGAAGGTGGACTCATGCACAAAGAGGTCGCTGGTTCGATTCCAGGTCGGGGCACATGCCTGGGCTGTGGGCCTGATCCCAGTGGGGGTGCAGGAGGCGGCCAGTCGATGTTCTCTCTCTTCGATGTTTCTATCTCTCTCTCCCTCTCCCTTCCTCTCTCTCTAAAAATCAATAGAAAGAAAAACAAAATTTTTAAAAATAAAGTCAATGCAATTGATTGTTCAGTGGTATTGAAATAAATCTGACCTTAGTTGGCACTACAGTACTTAGACCAAATGTTTCTACCAAAAAACAAATAATGTTTATAAACTAGCTTTTTACAGATGGTTAACATCTGTTCTGTATGTACTTGATAAGTCAAGTGCATAGTTCATGAATTTGTAATATTATTCATTATTACCTCTAAGAATATCCCGTACAGATAAACTGTCAAATGCTTTAATGGCATTTATATGGAAGTAGTCTTATAGACAGAAACAATCCAGTTTCTCCATGTGCACATATATAATTTAAAGACACTTAATAAATGACTAAGAAAAAAAATCTCAGTACCTTAGAAATTGATGTGTAACACCAGTTTGTAGGATTTACAATGCTTATTTTTAAGAAATCGTCCAGAATAAATAGCATTCTGTGCAAGGAAAACTAGAAAAATTCTGGGTGGTCAGAACAGATCATACCACATAGCTAAGAATGAAATTATGTTATTCATTCAAAGTTATTTTCTGTTGTTTTTTTTTATTCCTTTGACAATAGTAATTTGTGAATGAAAGATTATATTCTGTTCGGCTGCATTTACGGGACGAGGTTTCATTTTCAACAGTGGCCTCAATTTTCCATACTGACGACAACACTCACCTTTTAGCAACCATTATATTTTTGAAAAGGAAATAATTTGTTGAACAGAATGTTTTGATTATAATTATTTTCTTTCTTGCTCACCATTTACCGGCTACAGTATTTACAAAAGACTTCAGTCTCTATGTGGAATTATCTTTTTCTCCTCTACCTTATACCTTAGTCAAAGGTTTATCCCTCCACCTCATTTCACTTTTTTTATCTTTATTGTTGAGTGTAAATGAATGGGTTCGCAACTGAAGTTTCTTTGAGTATAGTTTTTATGGTAAGATGTACTTATAACATGCGTATTCTAACCTAAAAACCACCACATCTATGAGTGGAAGATATGATGTGATATTTGTTATAAAA